TTACTTTTGTTGTCCAACCTTCAACTCCTCCATGATGAGATTCAGGGCCTCTTGGAACACTTCCAGCCGTCGACGCGGTTGATCCGCCTTCAAGAAGAAGCTGCCGTCGTCGTCAGGTAGCAAAGCGACGAGTCGATGGCCGTGTGTTCTCCAACGATTCCCCGCAGCGATGTTGGCGAGTGAAAAGTACACAGGCCATCCCTTGAGGCCGCCATCGATGGTGAGTGTCGTCTCGTCTTAGTAGATAATCACAGCAGCTACCGATGCTCCTTGAGGCAACTCTTCAAGAACTTCACGCCACTAGCTCCTCACCTCGGGACCTTTGTAAATCCGCTCTGCACCAGGAATCTCCTTGGGTGGTTTCACGACGAAACCGGCAGCGTTCACCATGTTCTCGTAAAGGCTTTTCACGCATGACAGCAAGCAACGACGCCATAGGATCACTGGCTGCAAATCCCCCTCCTTCGCGAGGTTAACCTGTTCGAATGGATGCAGATTAGCATCGGCTAGATGCAACTTCTCGTAGCTGTCAAACGCGGCGAGTGACTTGATCGTTAGATGCCCCGGATTACTCAACACCTCTATGAGGATGGACATCAACTCCTTGATATCCACCCTCGAGAGTCCGGAACCTCCCGCCGTTGTCCTTACAAAACGGTACACATGGGCGTCAACGTCGACGACTGACGCATCACCCCCTGGGTAGAAATGATACCCTCTTTGATCCTCATTCATCTCGGCAGCGTCAGCGTTGTCTATCATGCGAGTGCACTCTCCCACCCTATCCGTGCGGGGACGTTTGTTCGCGTTTGTGCGAATGCGGTCTGCAGCAGCTTGGAGCGCATCCACAGCACCACCCTGGCTGCTTTCGCCACGCATCACAGGTGTTGCATCTGCAGGTTTGTACTTGTGCTGCCCTCGAATCATATGACATGCCTTTGCCAAAGGAGTAGCAAACCGTACAATGCAGTCCTTCACGTCACACCCATAATGCCCTTCCTCCATTCTGCCAACCAAGTATGGTATGAACTTGCTGATATTCCAAAAATGGTATAAGGCAGATTACATATGATGAACAGAGATGTCTTTACAAAGACACATTCCCCACAGTGCCTACAGCTACAAGAACCTAGGCCGACAGTCTTCAGTTGCGACAGCTTCTCGCGAACCTGCAACACAAACGCAATGCAAGGTAAAAACATAAGCGATGGATCAAGATTTGCTACCATTGTACACAGATTCTCTGAAAAGACAATGCCAAACAGAGAGTGGTTGCACTTGACCACAAGCAACCACACGAAACCTCTTTCACAGGAGCGACATTCTGACCATACAAGTGCCTACCTCGGGGTGAAGACCAGGATGTGCTGACCCGGGAGAAGACCTGCTGGAAAAACGTAAAAACAGGGAGGAAAACCGATGATTTTCATCTCCCTCAATATTGAATCAGACAGCTTCCGACCGTGAAGATTAAGCGTAAAAAACCAAGCCAGACATGGCGGAAAGCGTGGAAACGAGACCACGCATCACCCAGACAAGTCAACAGTAATTCGGCACCCTAATTCGGCCTCTAAACATTACCAAATCAGATATATTCAGCAGTTCGCGAAAATTCCAAACACGACTGAAGATCAATATTTTTCTCTATGTAATATTACTACCACGCTTACCAAGTCAGGATAGGCGCGGTTCAGCGACAGGTGGCGCGTCGGGTCGATTTCGCAGGTGCAGAACGCGCAGGCAACGGGAGGGACAGGAGGTTCCCTAAACGGTGGAAAAAAGAAGAGCACTGATCGCAAAATGAGAAAAGACTGGACGAGCAAGAGAACCCCTGTCGATGGAGGTGAGGTGGAGGTTGAGTTAGGAGTAGGGGAAGGGGAGGATTCGTTGAAGTATTCCTTATACCTACCCTGATTGTTTAGAAGAGTGTTAGCACCACTGCGAAACGCGCAGAGTCGTACCCTACCGTTAACACTGTCAATTTGCCGGAAACGGTATTTACACATATCGCATCGGTTTGAAGGGGTTGGGGGTCGAGTTTCAGCTCTGCCTTCATGTTACTGGTGGTCCCTTTCAGACGCGAACTTCTGTGCCTCCGTCACGTCATGCCAGCAAGCCACCCTGGGTACATCTGGACGAATGGGAGCACGACAATGTTCCGTTTTTGTTTTTGTCGTGTCTCAGGGTGGTCACCAGGCCTCAGGATAGCGGGGCGTTTTACCCTGTTTGCCCTGCATTTCAGGGTGAATTTTCAGACCCACACTGCTAGAATTGGGTTTGGCTGGGCGTCCACCCTGTCATCGTCAGGCAGGGCGAAAAACAAACCCTGCAAATGCTGTTTTACGCTTATGTGCAACACTGCCGTTACGGGAGACACCCTGCCAATTTTTTCCCTTTTGCAGAACTTCACTAACTGCGCGGCTTTTCCTACAAGCCGAAATGTGTCCAGTATTGATGTGAGTGAATTTCCAGAATCGGCCAAGTACTTGAAACACGAGAGATTCAGCTCTAGCACAGTGAGTGGCGTTTGTGACCGAAATGTGTCCACTAGCGTTTGTGACTGAAATTCCAGAATCGGCTAAGTCCTTGAAACACCAGAGATTCAGCTCTAGTACAGAGAGTAGCTTGTTATCGCTAGTAACCGCACCTAGAAGACCCACCGACAGGCCTCTCATCTCCCCACCTTACACCACTAAAACCTCAACCATAGAGACGACCGCCCTCTCAGATTAACACTTAGAATCGAGCCAGGAAGACCCAGCTCGACCAGGTTTTCTGGCCCCTGAGAATAATCGATAATGGCAGGATCGACTGCGGGACCCAAAAGTTTCAGCTGGCAGTGTGTTCGGATTTTTCACCCTGCTAGATTCGACTTCGAAAAAAAATGACACTGCCATTTCGTGGGTACGACTGCCAAGGCACACTGCAGAGGCAGGGTGTCGCGGGTCACAACTCGGATGAGGCAGCGTGCCCCAAAATGAATCGAGAGCCCTGGTGGTCACCCATCCACGCGGAACCTTGGCGCCTAGCGCTACGCCTACAGTACCGCCCTAGGTGCATCGGGACGGTTCAGAGAGGCACAGTTTAGGAACAAACTTGAAAAATAAAAACATCCGACTCGATCTGTTTAGATCGGTGCAGCCTATCTACACCAAAAATATCGAACAGTGTTTTTAACCTGGCGACGAACTCCTGCGGGCACTATGATACGAAACATACCGTATGGCCCCGGATAAAAGCGCATATGCGCTTATAATAAGTTAATTTTTTTCAAGGGTGGCGCTTGTAATTGAGGAACGGCCATAAGCGCCGGCGCTTATATAATGACAAATACAATTTTTATCTTTAAAGGTACCAATCTGTACCTTTCGTTGTAGCCATTTCAAACGAGTCGAACTATTATAGAGTCACAAAGCAGAATCGCGCGCAAGCGATTCTGCTTCCTGTACACGGGCAAATTCGCGTCACTTTGCAGGCATGCCAGCACATCCTGACTGGACGCGCAGACAGTCAGGTCTTCGCGAGTCAAACAAAGCGAAAATGAAATTTGACTCGCTGCAAAACTGAAATTCGTTACCGATTTAAACTGATATTTAAATGAAAATTGCACACGGCGCTTATAATAAGTAATGGCTTTCCAGGGGGGGGCGCTTATAATCGAGGATCGGCCATAAGCGCCATGCTCCAGATAGAAGCGCCGGCGCCTGTAATAGGCCGGCGCCTATATCCGGGGCCATACGGTATATGAAAGCTTCGGTGGGGAAAACAACAGTGTAAGGAATTTTCTCGGCATTCCTTATGGAGCCTGACTACATCGCGTACAGCAACAGCCGTTGTTCGCCCGTTACTGCTAACGGGGCTTCGCCAACCTCGCGCGCACTGTTTTGCCAAACCTCGCATTGCTGGCCCGGCCGTGTCAGCCCACGCTTCGGGACTAGCCCGAGCCTCGCTGCCAGCATAGCACTAGCTAGCTCGCACGCACCGCGTTACCGTTTGCATGTTTCGCGTATAAATGTTCGCTCATGCCTTCACTCACATCTTTGTACTCGTTTGACACCTTAGTGCAATCCTCGCTACCTCGATCCATTGCACCCGTAACACTTGGTATTCAGAGCCTCTTTCTTTCGGACCGCGCATCTCCGCACCCCAGGAAATCAAATTTTGATTTTTTCGCCCGAAGGGACTCACGCACCTTAGCACCTAGGAGCCGCTGTCCTCGCGTTCTCTCGTAAACGCGTGCAGCCACGACTGCGCCTAGACTAAGACGAGCCGACACCCTTCGAAATGGCTGAGCACATTGATATCACGACTCTCACGCAGGAACACTTGAACAATCTGCTGCGACAAATCTGTCAGATTTATATGACATAGCTACTGTAGGCTATAGTGGGGTGGCACATATGGGGTACAGTTTTCTAGGGTTTGCTTTTTGTACCCAACTTTCACTTAGTCATTTCATTCCTCGTTTCTTCTCATGGTATCGAGCAGGTTCCCTAGTGGGAACGATTCCTAGGGCCCACCACCACGAAAATTTTTTTTTTTCATGCCCGGAGCGCGTTTTGCTCCGGCCCGAGTCGCGCCGCCCCTACGGCCCTTCGCGCCGCCCTTTAGGCCCGTCGCGCCCGTCGCGCCCGTCGCGCCCGTCGCGCCCGTCGCGCCCATCGCCACCTTACGCGGCCCCGCCACCTACCTCCGCGGCCCCGCCACCTACCTGTGCGGCCCCGCCACCTACCTTCGCGGCCCCGCCACCTAACTGTGCGGCCCCGCCACCTACCTCCGCGGCCCCGCCACCTACCTGTGCGGCCCCGCCACCTACCTTCGCGGCCCCGCCACCTACCTGTGCGGCCCCGCCACCTACCTCCGCGGCCCCGCCACCTACCTGTGCGGCCCCGCCACCTACCTTCGCGGCCCCGCCACCTCACTGTGCGGCCCCGCCACCTACCTCCGCGGCCCCGCCACCTACCTGTGTGGCCCCGCCACCTACCTCCGCGGCCCCGCCACTTGCCTGTGCGGCCCCGCCATCTACCAGCGGCCCCGCCGCCTATATGCGGCCCCGCCACCTACTAGCGGCCCCGCCACCTACCTGCGGCCCCGCCACCTACCTTTGCGGCCCCGCCGCCTCCTCTCAGCGGCCCCGCCGCCTCCTCCCAGCGGCCCCGGACGCCGCCCTCTCAGCGGCCCCGCCGAGCCGCCCAGCAGCCAAGCCGCCCAGCCGCCGAGCCGCCCAGCAGCCGAGCCGCCCAGCAGCCGAGCCGCCCAGCAGCCGAGCCGCCCAGCAGCCGAGCCGCCGAGCCGCCCAGCAGCCGAGCCGCCGAGCCGCCCAGCAGCCGAGCCGCCGAGCCGCCCAGCAACCGAGCCGCCGAGCCGCCCTACAGCCGAGCCACCCGAGCCGCCCTGTCCGGTAAGAGCAGCGCCCCTTTCACAGCACTGCCCTCACCCTACTGTTTGCGCTGCTAGTCTACTGCTGTCATGGCTACCCCTAGTGTCCTCGCTTTTGACGCTGAGGGTCGGGCCATTGACTTTGACGTCTGGATAGATGACCTGCAGCTTTTCTTACAGTGCGACAGGGCAGACGGCCTCTCCCTCTTTGACCTCACTTCTGGTGCCTCTCCTGCCCCCGCTGCTGCTGCTGACGCCACTGTTCGCTCCCAGTGGGCCACGCGCGATGCTGCTGCACGTCTTGCTGTGCGTCGCCACCTACCTACCTCTGAGCGTGCGCACTTTAGCCAGTACAAGAGTGCTCAGACCTTGTACGACGCTGTAGTTGCGCGCTACTCCTCCCCTGCCACTGCTGCACTTAGCCGCCTCATGCTACCGTACCTCTTCCCTGACCTTGCTGCCTTTCCCACAGTTGCTGACCTCATTACGCACCTCCGCACTAGTGACACTCGCTACCGCGCTGCGCTTCCTGCAGAGTTCTGCGCCAAGAACCCCCCCCCCATGTACATCACCCTCTACTACATAGTCACCCGGCTCCCTGACTCCCTTCGCGTAGTCAGGGACCACTTCCTCTCTGTTTGCCCCACCACTCTCACCGTTGACCTCCTCGAGAAGTCCCTCCTAGCAGCAGAGAAGAGCATAGTAGCTGTAGGAGCCTCTCGTGGTGACCCTCGCACCCCCATCTTTGAGGGGTGTTCCCCCTCCCCCCTTTTGCCCTCTGTTGCCTCTGCTGCTGCGGCCGACCTCGTTGGGCTTGAGTCGGTCGGTGCGGCGTCTACCCCTAGCGGGAGACGCCGCCCTGGCAAGGGCAAGGGGGGCAGGGGCAATGGAGGAGCTAGCGGGGGCGGTGGAGGCGGCGGTGGAGGCAGTGGAGGGGGTGGGGGTGGCGGTGGGGGTGGTGGCGGGGGTGGAGGTGTCGGTGGTGGCAGTGGAGGCGGAGGCGGCGGCGGCGGTGGCGGTGGGAGCGGAGGTGGCGGCGGTGGAGGAGGAGGCGGCGGAGGAGGTGGAGCTGGTCGGGGTGGCGCTGCGCAGAGAGTCGGCTCCGGTGGTGGTCAGCGCCAGCAGCAGCAGCAGCAGCAGCAGCAGCAGCGCACTCGTGACATCCCCTCCCCTCAGCAGCTCCGTGAGTGGTACGCTGCACGCCAGAGGGGTGGGGGTACTGGTCCGTGCACCTACGTCCTCCGCACCGGCGACCGCGCGGGTGAGCAGTGCGGGGGTGCGCACTCCACCCAGCGCTGCTTTGGCCGCCTGACGGACGCTTGGCGTCACCAGTTCCCTGAGGCCACTGAGATCCCCCGCTGGGGTGAGCTGTCTAGGGCGGGTGTGGCTGTCTTTGACCTTGACTTTGATGCTATTCTTGCTGCCATGTATACTGTGACTATTAGTGATGAGGGTGACTGTTACCGGTGTTTTCCGCCCGACCCGGGCATTGAGACTGCTGCTCTAGGTACTGGTGAGGCTGCTGCTCTAGGTGCTAGCGAGGCTGCTGCTCTAGGTGCGTCTGCTCCCTCAGGTGCTGGTGAGTCTGCTCTCTCAGGTTCTGCGTCGGCCTCGGCCTCCCACACCTTCACCCTTGACTCGGGGGCTTCTCGCTCCTTCTTTCGAGACCGCACCACACTCACGCCGCTTGGCCGACCAGTTGCGGTCTCTCTGGCAGACCCCTCTGGGGGTCCTGTCCTTGCTCACTTCTCCACTGTCCTCCCGTGTCCGGCGGCCCCCTCTGGCACCCTGTCTGGTCTTTACCTCCCCTCGTTCTCTACGAACTTGGTGAGTGGTGCTGACCTACAGGATGCGGGGG